GCGACAGGACCCGAGGGGACGGCATGGAGCTGGGACAGGGGAGGGTCAGGCTGGGGGTTAGGGAAAGGTTCTGCACCCAGAGGTGGTCAGGCACTGGGACAGGCTGCCCAGGGCAGTGATCACAGCACCGAGCCTGCTGGAGTTCAAGGAGCGTTTGGAAACTGCTCTCAGACATAGGGGCTGATTTTTGGGTGGCCTTGTGTGGAGCCAGGAGTTGGACTCGATGATCCTTGTGGGTCCCTTCCAACTCAGGATATTCTATGATTATTTCAGCTGTTCCTACATGAGAACCCTGAAGAAAAAGGAAAAGAGAGGCCCATTTGCACGGCCTATTTGTCTTTTCTCTGTCACTAATGGTAGCAGTGAATGCGTGTGTATGGGAGCTGGGGACTGGGAAACTTGTTTGTCTTGTGTGTGAATGAGGAGTCTTCTGTTAATACTCCAGAATTAGAAAGTAGATAAGAAGGTGTTTTTTGAGGAAATCAGAGTAGAGATTCCAGTATATCTCATGATTTTACATTAAATTTATTCTGTTTTCTGATTGATTAGCACTCAAACTGTGTCACAACTCCATCAGATTCCCTCTTTTGTACATTAAGAAATAATTCTAATAAGTGTTGTAGATTATTTTAATTTTATTCTAAACAGAGAAGGGTTAGAGGAGAACTGAATTACTGAATTAGCTATTTTCTTCATGTGATGGTCTTGTGAAAAGCAGGTAATGCTCAAGGGATGAAATACCAGAAAAATGATTATTTGACTTGTTATCAAGCCAGGATTCATCATTTTGCCAATGCTAAATTATTCTTCATTATGTATAAAACAGCTTCACAAATTCATATGACTTTTTAGAGACTATTGCCCAGTATTCATTTAAACTAACAGAATAATTCATGTTGTCATTAAAAAAAAAAAAAAAAAAAGAGCACTCTAGGAAAAAAATATTTACCTGCATTTTTTCTTAAAAAAAAAAAAAAAAAAAAGAATATTTTACTGATAAATATTGATAAATATGTTGGAGATAACTGTATATGTTTATCTGCCAGTGTTTACTGAAAATAAATAGATAGACAGAAGATTGTTCCTTGCAGAAGCTGCCTTTCCTGGCAATGAAATGCAGACCTGCAAAGCTCTGCTGGGTTGTAATCCCTGGCTGGCACTCAGGGCTGGCAGCTGGGAAAATTCTTATGTTCTTCTGACTTCATGGCTTTCATCAGCACAGACAGGCGGGGTGGCATTTTAAGGTTGTGGCTCACCAGGAGGGTACATATTAAGTTGGGAAGAATACCCTGAAGACGAGCAGTGTGTTGATTTATACAATGAATTTCAAAGCACACAACTGAGAAGTTTGTGTAGATAATTTTTGCTGGGCAGACGTTTTCACGTTGGCCTGAGAAACACTATTTTAAAATGCTTTCTGGAACCAGCAGTCAATCTTTATTGTCCTAGGCTTGACTCTGGCTCTCTGTTCTTCAAATTCATACTTACCTCTAGAGCAAATGTTTCTGTTTACAAATTCACTGTGATTTTTCACATCGTTTATGTGGTCTAACATATTTCTTCAAGGAAAACAATTTTTCCTTTATATCAAGAAGGGAATATTCACCTCAGGAGAAAGTGAGTAAGGGTGTGCCTTTACTTATTTGTGTCCCACTTCTGTCACAAGAAGAAGCACATCCATATGTTGAAAGCTTGAAAGATTTTGTTGACTTCTAATCAAAAAGAAAAAAAAAATGGAGAAAGAGTACATGGTGAGCTCGTGACAAACATCTGTATATTTGTAGCTTATGTTTGTAACGATAAAGACAATCCTTAAAATTCCAGTAGATGAGGCACATGCAGTGGCCAGGAGCCCTAATTGTAGACAAAGTAGATAGTGTTGCCAGCCAGCTGCCGATACCTTTTTTTTTTGGTATTTCTATAGGATGCAGAAGGCCTGGAATGCTGGATACACGTAAACACTGTTAGAAAACTCCTTCTCAAAGCTCTTTGTGGTGTCTCCAGACCCTTTTTGCTAAGTACCCTGCCGTGCGGTGATGCTGAGTACAGGAAATCATGGCTCTGAGGTGCTCCTTGGCAGCAGGTCCACTCAGTAATAAATGGAGAGGGACAGACAAAACCAAATGCATATAACCAAGCCTTTCTCCAGCACAATGATATTTTGAATGGAAAACTGATCTTCGGGAGATTAGATACCCAGCCCTCACACGGAAATACTTTCCATTGCTTATCTGCAAGCCCCTCTGCAGTGTGGGTGAACTGAAGTCAAATATTACACTTTAAAAGACAATTACGTGTCCTTCACTTCCTCGAGCCCCTCAAAAGCCAAACAGCACTATCTAATCTAAACCACCCCAGCTCTTCTCCAGTCCCTCAGACATATGCTGCACATTACATTTCTGCAGAAATTCATTGCAGTCTGGTTCAGCAATCCCTTTGAAGTCCTTGGGAGCTTATCTGTACTCCAGGGAGACAGGGTGTGTCTCCTGGGCAGCTTGCATGCGACTGTAAAGCAGAAATCTACCCCAGAGGCCACAGGTGCCTCCCTCTCTCTCTCTGCCTCTTTGCTTTATTTATTTATTTATTTATTTATTTATTTATGGCTATCAAGAAATCTCCACAATTTATCCTAGAATAAAGGGCTGCATCCAAAGGCTGCCCATTTTTGCTGAGGGCATGAGGAAGAGCATGAGGAAGAAGCAAGAGGGAGCCAGCACTGAACACCCACCGAGCCTTTCCAGAGCACCCCAAGCCTCTGGGTGCCCTCCCCAGTGGCAGCCTTCCCCTGCCCGCTATCCGGAGGGGATCCGGAGCCCCTGCATCCCACACAGCTATGGGCCCCTGTCCTTGGGACCATGGATGCCCTCCCCAAGCAGACTAGAGGATGGTTTACTGCCACAGCACAGCAGAAGAAAGTCTGACGTTAATCCTCAGATGAAAAAGGCTGAGCAAGTTGGTTTGTGCTGATTTAAGGCTGTTCTTGTTACATTCTTGAAACTACTGAGGTTATTTTGTAATCCATCTGAATTACAGCTTGCGGCATTTTGAGCTAATCTTCCCTTGCGTTTCACTTAACTATTCTTTACCTCCTGCCTGCTAGAATGTGTAGAAAAATGCACATCATTTTTGAACCCCCAGGTCTGTAGCTTCTGAGGTCTCTGCATCAAAAAAAAAGGAGACAACACTCCTTGGGAACAGGGAGTCTGGGGGGGCAGATACGAGACCTTCCGATCTGCTGAAAGGTGACAGCTTCACAGCGCTGGCTCTTGGCTGGAGGAGGGTTCAGCCAAGCAGCACTCCTTCTGTTTATTTTCTGAATGCTTTGAGTGAACGCATGTCTCTATCGATGTTTAGAGAGTGGCAGCACTGGCGATGGCGTTTATTTATTCGCGAGATATGTATCATGCAAACAGCTGCGAGCTGCTTCTCCTCACGGCTCCGTTACCGCCTTCAGCCCCGACCCCGGCAGACCACCCCTGGCACCCCCAGCTAGCACAGCCTCCCTGGGAGGATCATCCTCCTCCCCGGGAGGCTGCTGGCTCTCTGTGCTGTGCTTCCCGAGCACGAAGCACGTCCTGAGGCTTCCTCGCTGCATAGAGCAAGGTGAGGGAAGTTCTGCCAACCACTCACTTTCTGCTGTCTCTGAAGGGCCCTTTGGCTGGTGGGCTGGCACCTTAGTGGGTGTAAATTGATGAGCAAGTCTAACCTACACCAGATGTCCCAGGGCATTTTCAGCAGTGTCCTTTTCCCTTGCTGCTCAAATCCTATATTAAAAACCCGCCAGTAGCCATAACCACCTCCTGAGGACCCTGCACTGCTTCTGGCTCTGAACGTTTCCCATTGCTGGAGCTCTGCGCAGCAGGCAAGAACATGGACACCTACATCTTAGAAAATTGTTTTTCCCTCTATTCATTTTAATTTCTTTCTCTTCAGCATTAACAGAAGTGCTGTAAGTGGGTAACAGTTCTGTCAGATTTTTGGGTGCAAGGCACGAGGAGAAGTTTTCTCCTGGGCCCCTTTGGTGATCTTCTCAGCAGTTGAGGTGAGGGGGCGTCGGCACTAAAGCTTGGATGTGATGTAGCTGAGGGCTGGACAGATTTTCCTGGAGGACGAAGCAGCTGGATCTCTCTAACATGATGGAACCACAGCGTGATTTTCCGCTGGGATCATTTGCAAGTCAATGCCTGTGGCAGGTGGGGTTAACCAAAGACCACCCTGTGCTGTAGAGGAGCAGAAGGATGTGTTTCTCATTCCTGGTGAACTTCTTGTCATCCTTTTACCTGCTATGGAGCAAACACTTGCAACTCTCACAGGCTCTTTTTCCTTACTAGACAAGACCCAAACCTGCATTTCTGCCCTGCGTGGAATTAAAACCCTTCTGGACATTAATTAGCCTGGGCAATCTCCAGCATTGTTACACCAGGTTATTCCTATATACAAGGTTTTAAGTGCAAATGAATTTAATGCTGACTATTGCTTGTAGTTACTGGCGTCTCTTTGTTTGTGGGGACAGGGTTAAGCAGTGTGTTAATTCTTATCTGTAAATGATTTTTTTTTCCTGTTGAGCACAATTCCAAATGCAGCTCCTTTGCTTTTGGTTTAATTTTTCACTTCTTGCTTTCCCCCCAGCTCCCTCTTCGTTGTACCCTGCAGATCACAGTAGTTTCTGCTTAAAATGTCTCAGCCTCTCTGTTTTCCAGAATTTAATTGGGAGCCTGTTGCTACATGCTGAGCAGGGTGGGACCAGGAGTCTTTTTTTTTTTTCCCTCAGAAAATAGATTGCTGAATGTAAGGCTTCAGGGAATAAAATTTAAAGGAGAGGACTTGCCTTGTATTTTTTTACTGGGTAGACACCTTGTTGGCCAGCATGGCATTTCACCCTTTGCACGCCATGGAAAGCTGTTAGTGCTGCTGTGACTGGGGGTGCAATGTTGATCCGTGTCCCTGCTGTGGGGGATCTTGGGGATGTTTTACCTCTCTGCCTGTGTTTCTGCTCTCAGGATCTGATCTTCAGCACAGGGCCGGGGCCAGGAAGCTTTGCTCCTGCTGTACACAGCCAGCTGGAAGGCAGCACGCAGCAAGGTCCCTCAGCACTCGGTCTTCACTCAGCACTTCACGGCCAAGGGGAAAGCAGGCGCTGCAAGGTGGGATAAGCACCATGCTTGTCCACCAGCATCTGTCCAAAACGGTGCTGGCGGGGCCAGATGAAGGGACCCAGACACCACTTTTCCATGGCTGGGCTGAAGCAAGGGTGCTGTGTGGCTTTCTCAGCCTCAAAGCTTTTGTGCAGCTTGCTGTCAGCCTTTGCGCTCAAGATTATTTCAGACTGAGTGAGCAGCAGACTTAAGACTTTAGAAATCTTGTTTATAACATTCCTTTTGCCCAAAATGCTCATGTTACCTGCTTGTCAAATGTAAGGCCGTCAGATAATCAAGCCCCGTTGGCTCTGCGAGGCTCTATTTAGCAAATTAAAGGAGCGGTAACCCTAGCTAACAATAAGAGCGCGCAGAAGAACTCCTGCACACCCACCAGACCTGCCATATTCCTTCCACTAGAGGACGGTAGCTCTTGTACACAGCCATCAGCAGCCTTTTACAACAGAAGCTCGAATAAAGCAGCCCAACCCTTCCTGTAGAAACATGTTCCTTTCTAGTGGTTTTCACATAATGAATCCCAGTGAATATTTAACTAAGTCTCCCCTGTAATCAAGTTTCTGGCCTCCTCGCTTGTATCCACAATGTAAAACATTTCCTGATCTATTGCATTTAGCAGCCCTGGAAGCCTCCCGCAGTATCTGTTTCTCTGCTCAGCTGGCATCAGAAGAGCTGCGTGATTGTTGTTGGGTTTTCTCATCCAGCAAGCGCTGATACAAACGGTGCTACCTGTTGAGAGACGGGAAGGATCTTTGGGACCTCAACCTGGCCATGTAAATCATAAGCAGGCCTTCTCTTCAAGGCCTGAAACGCTGCTCTGTGTTCATAGGTATAAGAACATTCATTGCTGTGGGCATGAATATTCAGCGATCCAAGTCTAGATTTCATGCAAACTGAGCCGTCCTCTAATCCTCCCCTTAAAACACAGAAACATGAAGGAAAAAAAGTGTGTCTGGGTCTGCATGAAGGTGGATTTGGGCCTGCGGTGACTTGGAAAACCTTTCTGGGGTAAAACCTACGGCCTTTGTTTAAGGAACTCCGCGTGTCTATATCAAATAGCAAATCTCTGTTTGTGCCTGAGCTTTGTCTGCCAGACCATTACCTTTTCACCTCATTTTTGGACTTGTGAACGTGGTTATGGAGTTAACAAACAAGGGCTGTTAAACCTCGAGGCACCTCTGTTTACACAGAGGCTTTCTTGGGCAGGACAGTGGCTTCTCTCCAAGGCAGTCCGGTTTCTCAGGTGAAATGGTGGGTGCCTCAATCACCTGGCACAGGGGGCGAGGAGCTCCTCTCACCTTGGGGACTGGGGTGGCAAAAGGCATGGCTTTCGCTGGAGGAGACACACAGGGGATGAAGCAAATTCCTGCGAAAACTCTGGTAGGAGACGGAGGAGTGAAATTATGTGTGAAGGCCGGAAAGGGAAGAGGGAACATGAGGTGAGACTTCTTACTTACAGCCATTGGAGGGGTGAGGAGAATGAGGCAGGGAAATAGTCGCAGGCATTTAGTACTGCATTACTGTCGTATGTTCCAGGGCTGTAGAAAGGGAAAAAAAAAAAAAAAAAAGACTTTTATGTTATTTTTTGAACTTCTGCAGTCTCCATGCCTGGCTGTGACTGGGCCTCCGTGAGAGCTGGGGATGTGGACTGTGGCTCTCCAGTGAAGGAGGTGAGAAGCAGGAGGGGTCTGCAGGGATGTGGTACCCTGGGTTTGGGACCCTGCCCATGAGGAAGAGCACAGTGCCTGCCCCGTGGATCCCTGCCACCAAGTTTTCTGCCACTCCCAGGGCTTAAACTGTAACAGGAGCCCTGGTGCAAGCCCCGCTGAGCACCTCCTGCTCTGAGGTTGTGCCTGGAAGTCATCGCTCGCTCGCTCGCTGAACCCTGTGGTGTCACCAGAGAAAAATCCCATCTGATGTAACGTTGCAGGGGAAGCTGCCACAACCACCAGTTGGTCTAGTTAGACAACAGAGCTTTAGTGAAACAAACCAGCGTGTATTGATCAACTGGAAACAGAAAGTGTGCGGGCCAACAAGCCAAATGTATTCAAGATCTGTAACAGAAAGACAAATGGTCTTTGCAGCCTTTGTCTTCTCATTTTTGTAAGTCTGCCTCTGTCTTGCTGTGCCCTGCTCAGCGCTGAGAAGGGTTTTATTCACATGGCTTCTGCTTAGGGGGATTCACTTTTTAAAGTTATTCTCCAACGTGTGCTTCCTTCCCCTGTCTTAGAAGAGATGCTATTCCACAGCAGCCAGAGGTGCTCTACCAGGACACTCTGTAACATTTTTTTTTATGAAGGAATATATAATAAATTGAGGATTTTCTTTTATTTTGATAATTTAGTACTCAATATCTGCATTATGGAAGTGCCTGGAGGTTCCAGCTGAGCTCAGTGTCTTATTGTTCTAAGCCATGCATAAAAGCATGGTCAGAAATGAGGAGCTTACCATCTAAATGGATGAGATGAATAAAGGGTGGGAGACAGGAAACATCTATTATCCTCATTTCATAGCTAGAAAGTTTGGACATAGGCAGATTAAGTGACTTTCCCAGGACTGTATAGGAAAACTGATGTAGAAGGACAGAAAGCTTCAAATGTCCTGTACCCCAGTGTAATACCCTGATCATAACACACCACATTTCCTGTTTAAATATATCTCACAACATTTATTAATAACAACAAGTATTTTTTGGAATCTGTTCCTTAAGACGTACAAAATGAGAGGCGTACCAGAGAAGTTACATGGCTACAGGGCATAAAAATCTGGAGGGAGTTCTGGCATTAAGTGCCATTACAAAACATCACTACAATGGTGAAAATAATCTCTTTTCTCAGTACTGCCTGAATTAATCTCTCTTAGAAGATTCTGCTGTGCATAATGGAGAGGAAGATCAAAAATCAATAAGCAAAAGACGTTAACTTTCCACATGCTGTAGTTCAACCAAAACGAGTTTTGTTGTTGATAAACACCCAGTAAAACTATCCCTTTATGGCAGTCCCCCTTCCTATGCACATTTTGCTGCAAAAGAACTCGGTAGACAATGGTTCACACTTTCATGGATAATTACTGAATGTAGTGACATGAAAGAAATTCTTATCTCATTTTTTCAGTTAAGCAGCATCTTGGAGTAACATAGAGAAGACTAGAGATGGAAGTTTCTCAGTAGCAGTTTTTATATTAGGATGGGTTCGTGTTTATATCAGCATGAAGTGATTTTCCCTCAGGACTCAGACAAATACATGAAGCAATTTTGCCTATCTCTGAAAATTAAAGGATACAATCTACTGAGACCAGATTTTCAGAAGTGGGTTCCTTTGGCACCCTAAAAAACACAGTTCAAAGCTGCCAGGAAAAGGAGACATAAACACTTTGGAAACCAGTTGTTGGTGTTTGGGCACTTAGCTTCAGAAGAACTTAAAAAAAATAATAAAAAAAGACAAATATTTAATTGTATCCAGCATGGTCAAGAAAATTTTTGGACTGGACAGAAATAGCAGGGAAGAAATGTGGCTTTCCCATTATCATATGTGGAGAAGCAAAGTCCTCAGCCATGTTCATGGCTCAATTAGGATGCAGATAATTTTTCCCCAGTAGTTCTCAAGCTTTAATGTGTAGTTTTTCCTTTCCTTTTTTCCTGTGTTGTGTTCCTATTTCATCTGGTAGAAGTGTTGGATGTTAGCAAGTCCAGCACCTGGAGAATAGGCTGGCACTGGAGAATGTGTTTCTATCAGGTACCTTTGTGGTGTGGTGGGGGCTGTGACTTCTTCCTCGCACAGCTCCTGTGGAGGTCTCTGTGGATCGTGACTTCACCAGCACTTCAAAAAGGGTCAGAGACTCTGTGAGGGTTGGGACTGAGGAGTGCTCAGCAGCTGCGTGTTGTGTTTGTTTCTAAGGTGACCTTTCCCTCATTATCTGAGGGAATTGGTTGCCTGCCTCGCCTCATCTCAACAGACACAAGTTGTCTTCTGCTTAAACTTCCACCTTCACTCCTCAAAGCGCTTCGCTTGGGCTCTGGTGGATCCAGCCCAGGGGCAGCCTGAAGTCAGTTTTTATATTAGGATGGGTTCGTGTTTAGGGTTACCCTGTCACGTAACGGTGATGCTTGGTGAAGACCAGCACATCTCCTTGCCCTCCTCACCTCTCCATGCTCACGGAGCCTAGCCAGGCCTCATGGCCCCACAGCTGCCTGGTGCCGTGCCCCTGGAGAACATTTTACCCCATCCCTGTCTGCGTGCGGTGCGGCAGGGGGACCAGGGCCCAGCTGACAGCGGTGACAAAGGGCTGGCAGCGCTGAAAGATTCAATTTAAGTTGCTTTCTCCTCCCCCGCTCCCATATGCGAGGGGACAGCACTGTTCGTGCTTTTGAAACCGGCGGGGCAAAGGAGCATTGGTGTCCTCATTTTCCTTCCTCCCTATTGATGTATCATTGCCAGGATGAAAAAGGACGTCTCAAGAGCTTTTGAAAAAATGGGTGACTACTCAAGACATTTTATAAAGGAGGAAGAATGGGAAAGAAAATAGAACTCGGTAGGGGGTAGAAGGAGCCTGAATGTGCGCCTTGTCTGTCTTTTCTTTCGCTTGAAACCTGGAGCTGTTGTTCCTATTTCAGTTCAAACTGTCACCTTTAGTTCATGATGGCTTTACTGCCCTTGCTCCTGAACCTCAACAGATTGGGGCTTATTTACCTATTCACACTCCTCTGTGGAACCTCATTAATAGGCTTATTAGCCACACCATTCACGTGCAGGAGGGCTCACAAAAAAGATCCCAGCCACTTTGAGAGGAGGAGGAAAAAACTGTAAAGAGATTATGCTCTCATTCAGCAGCCTAACTGCTATGAAAGGCTCCCTGGGCCCACTGAGATCTCTTGAAGCCTAAATATGATGACAGAATTGATCCCCCCGCCCGCCCCCCCTTCTAATTCCAAACATGCTTCTGCTTTTCTCTCCGATGGAGGAGTTCGGCTGCTGTGGGCCACTTTAAGAGAATGTGGCTCGTTGGGGAGAATAGGGTGCTATTGATAGACTGCTATCTTTTCATCCCGAAAAAGAATAAATTCTGCCAAGTGCTTCCAGACATTGGGAATAGGTGTTCTGATTTGTCATTTTTAGTGGAATGCTTCCTTTTCTTTCAGAGCATGCAAAGATATCGATGAATGGGGCAAGGTATCGCAGCTTCCTGTGCCGGACAATAATTTATGTGAGAATGCGTTAACAATGTTTTCAATGGGCAGTGGACATGCCTAGAGCTGGGAAAATTGGATCTTGACGGTGACATCGCAGCTTCTCAATTAGAACATTCAAACGTCTGTTGCTTTAGGAACGACAAAAAAAAATATAAAAAAAATTAAACCTGTGTTTCTAATCAATTACAAATTTGTCTGCTGCCCCTCACAAAGCTCGCATTGCTGCTGGTGACAGTGGGAAAGTACTTTCTGGGAGGTGAGTGCATACTACCCAGGAAACTTGTTTTCGTGCTTTTGGTGCCTGGAAGTATGTAAATACGGGGTCACGCCGTGCGGCGCAGCCACAGCCCTCGACAATCCCCTCGATCGATATTGCGTGCAGTGTATAAAATGCACAGTCGAGCTATGCTTAAATAAAGTAACATTAAATTGATCAACAGTGATTTAATTTGAGGCAACCCCCACTTATCGATTCGGTTGTCAAGCTGATTCCACAAAGCAAGCAGCAACACGGGCTCTGTATTAGCAACCCTTTAGCTAATGGTATCTCAAGTCGACGTTTTGCAAAGCAAATATCGGTCTAAGTCATACCGAATTTTTACATAGTAATATTAGGGACTGTCCTAAATCTGGGTGCCCAGGCAAATCCTGTTTGCAAAGCCACCACGCAGCAAGGTGCAGCGTGGGGTCAGCCCGAAATGCCAGGGCACTGAGAGGCAGCTGGGCTGTCGGAGCGGGCTGTGGGGCTGCCAGCTGCGCTCTCTGATCCCAAACCCTCTGATCCCAAACCCCTCCTGGGCAGCATCCCGGGGCCGTGCCGGTTTTGGGGCCGCGCTCTCCCCTCGTGGGGGGCTGCGGGATGCGCATCCCAGCTCCGGGGGCACGGGCTCGGGCAGAAGCAGGGGAAAAGACAGGGGCAGGGGAAGGGCTAGGGGCAAGGGAAGGGGCAGGAGAAGGGCTAGGGGAAGGAATAGGGGCAGGAATAGGGGCAGGGGCTCCGCACCGCGGCCGCCGCGATTGGGCAGAGCCTCGCAGCGCCGTCCAGGAAACGGCTCGGGTTGCAGCGGGGGGAGTGACCGGGGGAGGGAGGAAGGAGCTGGAGGAGTGTGTGTGTGTGTGCGAGGAGAGAGAGAGAGAGAGAAGAGGGAGGGGAAAAAAAAAAATAGGAGAGAGAAGAAAAAAAAAAAAAAAAGAGAAGAAAAAAAAAAAAAAGAGGGGGTTGTCGGCTTGACAAAGCTGCGGGCGGCTGGATGGAGCGGAGCGGGCCCCGCGCTGCTCTGCTCGGCGATGCCCGCTCGGGGGAGGAGGCTGCTGGCGCCGGGCACGGCGGGCTCGCCCCTGTGAGGCGGTAGCCGCTGCAGCCCAGCCAGGGCACGGGGCCGCCGGGCCGGCCGCTGCTTCGCCTCCCTGCCCAGCCCCGAGCCCCGCAAGGGGCTGCGGGCTGAGCGGCCGGGGCTGCCCGCACGCTGAGGAGCAGCGCCCCTGCCCCGGCCGGCGCCTCCCCTCAGCCCCCCGCCGCTCGCCGAGCCCGCCCGCGGAGCTCCGCGCCTGCAGGTAACGGGGGGGGGGGACAGAAAAAAGGGGGGCAAAGCGAGGGGACGCAAAACGGGGGGACCCCGGCAGGACGGGACCCGCTGCGGGTCCCCGGTGGGGAGCGGCGGGGGGCGGGATGCGGGGCTGGGGTCCCCCGGGGCTCCGCTGCCGGCCGGGGTTTGCTCCATGCCCGCTTTTTGCCGGTTCTTTTCCCTCTTTTTTTTTTATTTTTTATTTTTTTTTTCCCACTTTCTGCCTTATTTCTGCTGTATTTCTCCCCTCTTTTCTGCCCGTTCCCTGCCGCTGCCGCGAAACCCCGCGGGACGCTTCGCGGCGCTGACAGCGGGACGGCGGCGGGGACGGGACGGGACGGGAGGAGGATGAGGATGGGGATGAAGATGAGGATGGGGATGGGATCGGGATGGGATGAAGCTGAGCAGCCCCCCGGAGCGGAGAGGGGCCGGCGGCACGGAGCGGCCCCGTCCCGGGGCGAGAAGCCCTCGCTGGGCTCTATCTGGCTATATGGAGAGATTTAAATGCAAAGCGGCCCGTTCAAACAGGGAGCCATTATGCGCTTGGTGTGAAACGCTATCAACATTTAAAACTTCATTGTCTCCTTTGTACCAAATCCCTGTAAATCTTCCACTGGCCTTTACTCATTTTCATCTGAAAAGCCTGTTTGGGCTGAATAGACAGCAATCAGCAGCCTCTGGATTTCTCTCTCTCTCTGGAATGTCAATTAAAATGCAGATTTTTTTTTTTTTTCTTCCCCCCCCCCCCCCCCCCCATCTCTTAGTGGCAAAAGACTTGAGAAAAACAGGATAGTCCTGGAAAGCAAATGAAAGAAGTTCAAACAATGCAAAAGTACTGAAGCTGCCAGCCGGTTCCCATTAGTCCCCCAGAATTAATGTTTAATAGCTGTGATGCTCAGATTTGCTTGGAAGCTGAACCGGGATGAGGAGGCTACTCGGATATATCCGTGTGTGCGTCCATATATATGCATCGATGTGTAAATAGGTGTAAATATTGAAATAAGTAAGTGCTAGTTTGAGAGCTCTACCCACCTGGGTGTTTGGGGTGAAGCCACTCGGCTGCTGGGTGCTGCTTTGCGGGGTGTGAGCCCCGTTTCATTCAGCTTTTCCCATTCCCTGCTCAGCAGAGAAAGATGCTAAAGAGCCGTAGAGGAGCCCTGTATTGATTTGGTTAACATACTCTACAAATTGTGCTCTCCCTGGGGAGTGATAAACATCTTATAAACAACAATGGAAGTAGATTAAAAAGAACACTGAGCATTGAATTTAATTAATGCCACTGCTGAACAAGTACTACTTGTTTGTGTGCGAGCGCGTTCAAACTGAAGTACAGCTTGGAGGAATTTGGTTGGGCTCCCAAACCCGTCTGCTTTCCCATGCTTGTCAGTTTGGCAAAGAAATTTGGGCAGGTATGTGACGAGGTGAAAATTGACTTGATGAGCGAGTGGCAAGGAGAGCCATCAATCACGGGAGGCTGACAACTCCTCCCCGAAGTGTAGGCTGAGAAGAGAGACAGAGTTCCCTTTCAAGGGGAAAAATAAACACTACGTGTGGCTTTCACTGAGTCTGAGACTCCAGGAGGGATTATGGTATTGTAG